TGACAAAATACTAACTGTTCACCTGTCTTTGAATCTGGAGTTATGTTCTGCTAATATTCACATTTAATACGTGAGTAATGGGTGAAACAAGTTTTAAAAAATTACAATCTTAACTTTTCAATAATTTCTGGTTGTACTGTATATGGCGACGATCTGTAAATAATCGAGTATGAACCAGACAATCCAGTGACCAACATCATGACCATCGATCTACGCAACTGGGATACGATAAGGAGTCAACCAAGTCAGCGAGTCTGACCACCCACCACCTCTTTGGACAAGCATGGGTTACTGAAGATCAATTCTAACCCAGATCTTCGCGTGTGGTGTGCTCAAAGAGATATTGTCTTGAAGCCTTGTTTCAGTTAGTGAGTGCGAGATGCCATGAAGGAACAACAGCTTTGGCTTGTTATGCCTGATGTAATCGGACGTTGTGTTCAGTTGTGTCCAGGCACAAGGCCTCTGTCCTGTTGTGTACTAAACTATAGGTACGTTTGAATGACGAGTTCCCTCAGTCCTTATATAGGTTCCATAATGGCGGTCTGTAAATATCGGAGTATACCCAACATTGTGTTTGCTTGGACCCAGCAGTCATTAAGAGTCCAGTTATATGACAAAAGCCTATAAATATACTGATGTACAAAAGAAAGTACACAAGCTGGTTCAGGTGACACACCCAAAATGACAACCTAAATATTTTGAAAAGTGTTTTGATTGTGACCTACAGGTCACATGCACTGTGTATCTGTTAAAGGAAAACCAAGTCCAATGGATAGTCAACTTCTTTATTGCAATGAATATTCATTGGTATTCATTACAATAAAGAGGTTGACTATCCATAGAACTTGGTTTTCCTTCATCTTTACAACTTCTACAAAAGCCTCTCAAAGAAGTGTATCTGTTGCCAAAACAGCACAGGTATCGTTTACAGTGTTGTACATGAAATCATAAATATGCTGAGGGAAACAAATTAGGGAATACCACTTCATGGCAGTGTTCCTTATTTATTCTCAGAGTTCCTCCCACAGCGCTATTCAAATCTGGTGATGATAACTGGAAAATATTAAAGGATCATTTGAATTTTCCTGTGTTCCTTTATTTTGTTTCTCTCAGTATATAATGATTCTGTTGAGTCACAGGTACAGAATATGCACCAATACTCACAGTCAAGACACAGACCACTGGGGTTGTTAAAGACACATATCAAAATGCAAAGATATTCAGCAGCAAAGTTAGAAGCAGTCACAGTGTCCTGGACAGAATGAGTCACGATCTGCCATTGGTGCATAATGACACAGAGAGCAAACTTCCTGAGAGCCAAGAAAGAACCAAGGCACTGTAAACCAGGATACGTGTGAAGACAGTGATTATACAGTTCCCAGTCATCCACTGAGGGAGTGAGTAATTGTTGCTTTAAGCCGCATCAGCAGTTTTGCAGCTATTCGTGGCTCCTCCACTTACGGAATACATGGCATGCAACTGACACTCCTGACTAAGGTTTGTCAGCTGACCAGGAAACCCTGTTAACCTACATTTCCCTGATATCTGAACTTGATATCTGAACTCCTTATAAAATTATGCCTTTCGTTAGAAGTCAACTACACGGTGATCATGTGTTCATGCTATCGATCACAGGTTCTACCCAAACAGCATGTTGTGTTATGTCTCACATACATGACTTACCAACAAAACAAGGAAATGCCGCAACTATGTCGCTTACAAAACACACACCTAAGTCTCACGATGTTTGCATCAACATATATTTATTTGACACAGGTTTCAATATAAATAACGTAACATAAAAAGCTCTACATGCCTGTCAACATGGGTAAGGCAAACAAAAGAATCTGATAAAATACAAACCAAACATGAGAAGACATGATATTCCAGTCATGATATTCCATCCCCGTGCGATGTGCGGATGTTACAAACATGAGAAGACATAATATTCCAGTCATGATATTACAAACATGAGAAGACATGATATTCCAGTCATGATATTCCATCCCCGTGCGATGTGCGGATGTTACAAACATGAGAAGACATAATATTCCAGTCATGATATTCCATCCCCTTGCGATGTGCGGATGGTACAAACATGAGAAGACATGATATTCCAGTCATGATTCCATGAAAGACATCCAGTCATGATATTCCATCCCCTTGCGATGTGCGGATGGTACAAACATGAGAAGACATGATATTCCAGTCATGATATTCCATCCCCTTGCGATGTGCGGATGGTACAAACATGAGAAGACATAATATTCCAGTCATGATATTCCATCCCCTTGCGATGTGCGGATGGTACGAGAAGACATGATATTCCAGTCATGATCATCCCGTATGATGTTACGCGTTAGCATGGTCAGTATGAGCCCCAACTAGACCTCACAGAGAGCCAAACAAGACATTTATCTACAGATTCTTGGAGGCCAATATTCAGCATAATGTTGGCAGAATATATCATTAGTTATTCCCCATGCTGAATAAAACATTTACACATGTCAACATATGTTACTTTAAGTATTAGGAAGTGTTGCAGAGATAACCTTTACTTCACCAATAACTGCACCGACAAAGAGGGAGAGGTTGCGTCAAAGGTCATATGACACTGAAATGAATGTAATCTCAAAATTTAACTTAAACAATTTCTTAATTCAATAAAGAAGAACGTTTTTTAAAAACAATTATGCACAAAAAGTCACATTTACCCAATTTGAGTGCCAGGTGAACATGGTTTGGATTTCTGGATAAATTTAACTTATCCCACTGTACAGTGGACTACATACAGGTCATGTGTTTGAATCCCTGACTGCCTCATGATGATCTTCTAGTTTAACCACACATGTATGCAGTTTGTGAAATAGCCAGTGGACCGCTAGCCTGTGGCTAGTAAAAATCCAGTCTGGCCAGCAAATCTCCACAGTCACTGACCCAACTGGCTATGGAATTTTGTGAATATATCAGTCTCTCTGACTTTTTAAGCTATAATATTTTTAAATCATTCAAGATTATGGCCTGATAAAAATGTTTTCCATATTAGCAGCTTAATGATGAAATCGTTGTCATGCCAACAATATCTTATTCTCAGCTATTTTTTAATCTTTTGCTTAGTTTCAAGTTTTTGACTCGTGAAATATTTTGTGGGCTAGTAACCTTCACTCATAGCTAGCCCGACTGGCTAGCAAACTTTGGAAACTATTTCTCACACTCCATCTATGACAGGCGTGGCTGTCCGCCATTGTCTAGCTGACACACAGTGTCATGACTGAGACGATAGCGGCCTCCCACTCCTTCAAAACCTCACGTTGGATAGTGTTACCATGCATTCATGTCAAACAAACATGTCTGTACTACAAGGAAGCATATTTCAGCACTACCACCCATCGTCATTTCACCACCCACAGCCACAGAAACCTGAAAACAATATCTTCACTTTTACTATGCTTCATTTCCTACATTGTTTGCATTACAAGACACACACAGAGACAGGGCCCTTCTAGAATCTCAGTAAACAAGCATTGCTGAGTTTAAAACTGGGGAAAAAATATTGTTTTGTTCAAAGCTCGAAGTGAGTGTGTTCAGTTTTACCCTGCTATTAGCAGTATTCCAGCAGTATCACCGCGAGGGACACCAGAAATGGGCTTCACACATGGTAACCATGTTGGGAATTGAACCTTGGTGTTCGGTGTGACGAGTGAATGCTTTATCAACTAGGCTACCCCACTGCCCCCAACTAGAAGTATGAAAGTGTCTTTCTCTATATTTCCCAATAGAATACAGTCTCCATCGCTATAATGGTGGTCATAATTTTAATATCCTTACTTGGGAAATATCACAACAAAATATCACAGAATTCCAATTTGAGAAACCGAACTTGAACTGAACCCAAATACTTCGGGATTATGAAATATTCACCACAAATAATATCCCCCGTAATATTCATGATCGTCAACGTTTTATACAATATATATTTGATGTAGATTTGGTGGTGAATATCAGGCTGTGGGACTGGATACATCCTTCCAAGATGAATCAGATTATCCACCAGAGTTACATGCAGTCATGTAAAAAACGCTACTTTAACAAAACTGAGTGCTGACTTCCACAAGTTAAAATTTTCTTAAATTAAATTTCTTTCTTAAAATAATCATGAATCAAAGTGTGTTTTCCTTCAGTGAAGTAACCCTGGAGACTATGTGTGATCACAACGACAGATTTACTAACCTCACCATTAACAATACACTCACACCTTGGTATAACCCCGTCAGATTTGGGCGGCAGGTGCTGGTGCAGAGTAGGTGGGCATAACACTCATATATGATACAAATTAGGATTTTCTGCATATTCTCAGACTGAGATACAAGTATTCTTGGATTGCTTTACCACATCAATACAGTATGTACAACATGATAATACTAGTTGGCACAACAAACCCAGTAACATTACTAAATCCTCCGACTTCGGGGGGTGCTTGGAGACGGCCAACTGGCAGTCTTAGGGAGCTTCTTTCAAGTTGTTGAATACCAACTTACATCTACAACCATGTTCATCACAAACCCAGACTGACCTAGAGATACCCCCAGACCAATGAGGGCACAAACCCTGTGGGCACAGACCTAGTCTACCCCCAGACCAATGAGACTGTGGGCACAACCCCAGACCTAGTCTACCCCCAGACCAATGAGACTGTGGGCACAACCCCAGACCTAGTCTACCCCCAGACCAATGAGACTGTGGGCACAACCCCAGACCTAGTGTACCCCCAGACCAATGAGACTGTGGGCACGCCCAGTGAGATCACAGGTCATGCAAACAATACTTGTTGTACAATGCGACTAAATAAATCTTGTGGTGTGACCTTCTCATGTACTCGACATCCCTGCGACATTCTGTGTCCTTCTGTAGGAGTCCACTGTCAGTGCCAGACACAGAATAATCAGATCTACCACGCTATGCTAACATGACTCACCCATGCACCATAACAAAACACCTGGTGATACATAACATCATATGTATTGGAAATATTCAGAACATTTCATAAACAAAGCATCACAATGCAAACACAATCATAACTTGTTTCAATCCCAAACCCTACAATGTTGCTCACTTGAATTGAGAGACTGCAACACTGTAAATTTACAACAATAAGATATCTTACATTACTTTAACTTATGTTTGTCTGAACTAACACACAATATTGCTTCAGCATCATATTGCTTAATAAACAACTTATATCAGGAGCACCTGTTCTAGTCATCGAAGTATTTCATCAAACATGTTCTAAAACTGTCATTTTACATGTATTATCACAGTTTTTACAGGATCTGACGAGATATATATCACAAACGTACCTCTATATTACCTTCACTCAAAAAAGGAAAGATCTGGTTGGTTCACATGATGGTGATAAAATAATATATATCCTGTCTGGGAGGGAAATATGTTTCTGAGCAGGAAAATAAACCCCAAACCCTGTGATGAAGCAAACAGGCTGCACATTGATATATAAGGGGACATAACTCGTTGATGCCAACTAGGAAGAAAGAAGCTGAAAGTCAAATGACACAGCAGAAATTCTACCTCAGCTCAATGTATTTGTTTCTTTTAATTTCATTGTAAATGTCAGACTGAAGCATTTCATCAAGACAAATTTGCTGTGGGAGCATCACATGGGCTGGCGTTGTGTGTTATGTGTTTAGCGCTATACCATAAGCCAAAGGCAAGCTGAATAAAACTTAACTCGAGATGCATAAATGCCTAATACACCACATATACCGTATACGCTAAAACGTTTAATGTAACATGACATGATACCAGTGTTCGAATTACTGGAGGAAAGTTAGAGTTTGCCTAGATTCCAAGGACCCCCTTAACATACATGATATATAAACAATATCCAAGACTTATCCGTTAATCAAGGATTTTAATGTAGGTAACAAAATGTATGAATGAATTCTTCTACAGAAAAAATGTGGCTATAATGAACTCAAACTGATGGTCAACTTAAGTTCAGTATAACCAGGGTTCGTTACATGCATTTTGATTAAAACATACAATGGTTGGGATAAGAATGAGTCAGATATATCCATCATTTTGTTACAAGCATGTTCATGAATGTTATGACGAATCACCTCACCTTGTGCAGCATCCTGTTAAGACCCGTTCCCTAGTTGCGTTCTACATCGGTCCAACATTTCTAATAACAAAAATATATACTGGGACTTTGTTCTACGATTTGTTACTGTCTCCGTTCTACAATCTGTTAGTGTCACTGTGTTCACGTTGATCAAACACCTGCGTACGCCCGAAACAGCAGCATGCCATCTGAGGAAACATTGACAAAGACTTCCTCCTCTGCCGAGAAGAAGAACACTGATCCCCGCTGGAGAGGTACAGGAGAAGAAAGTGTTGCGTTGGTTGCTTCCCCTGATCCTTTAATCACAATGCATATACTGGCACTCTTCAGTGGGGCCAGTCTCACCTTGTTCACTCCGCTCGGAATCTATACAGAAACATTTACATGAGTTAGCGAGTTGATAGAGTGGCATATACTGGCACTCTTCAGTGGAGCCAGTCTCACCTTGTTCACTCCGCTCGGAATCTATACAGAAACATCTACATGAGTTAGCGAGTTGATAGAGTGAGTTAGGTTATAACTGTTGATATATGTTAAACATTTTGATGACATGGATAATCGCTGATGCAGGCGAGATCGATCAAATGACCGATTATTGAACCAATCACTCCAGCATTAATTCTTTTCCAATACAATCAAACATGTTGAGCAAACAAAGGCTTTTCTTCAAAAACACTAACTTCGAATCTTGTTACAGCAAAGTCCCGGACAAATGGCCTAAAGACTGTAACAGCTACATCTCCACCTCGGTCTTCAATGCCCTTGAACTTGGTCTTAGCTGCCGTCTGCCCCGTGTAGTTTAACATCTCACACAGTGTATGCACGTCCACAAACTTGACAGTCAGACCGGCTCGCACAACATTGTCGGAGCAGGCCATACACTCCATGCAATCTGCAGAGGAAACAATGTTTCCATTGATCAGTACCGGTATCCTATGTAGGGGTAGTGGGATGTAGGGGTAGTGGGATGTGTAGGGGTAACGGAATGGGCCGTAGGGTTAGTGGGTGGGATGTAGGGTTAGTGGGATGTAGGGGATTAGCGGGGCGTAGGGGAGTAGTAAGGATGGATGTAGGGGTAATGGGATGTAGGGTTAGTGGGATGTAGGGGATCGTAGCGGGCGTAGGGGTAGTGGGATGTAGGGGTAGGGGACGTGGGATGTAGGGTTAGTGGGATGTAGGGTTAGTGGGATGTAGGGTTAGTGGGATGTAGGGGTAGTGGGATGTAGGGGTAGTGGGATGTAGGGGTAGTGGGATGTAGGGGTAGTGGGATACAACCTCAGTACCATAAGCTCCTGCTGAAGCCAATACTCCATCAAAAGTCGGTGGTGAAATTGGGAAAACAAAACTTTATTAGAAATAGAAGTAAGCTCCTCCACAGTAGGCGACACTTTTCGTCACCCTCCCAGAAACATCACTGCCACGAGTGTGGCAGCACACCTTACAAGCATCATCTGTATTTACCCTCTAACCCAAAATGTACTGGGATCTATGTTTTCAAGATATATTCACTATCTAATTTACTGTTCCCATGATTAATTACAATTGTTTAACTAGAATGCTTTGAAACTGTTACGCATTGTTCTATAAAGTAAACTCTCAACACTGTGAATAATCTATTTTCACTTTAATTCTATTTTGTGCTTTGCACAAATGTATACAGTTGGTACACTGTTGACAACAAGTTAGTCCTATTGTGACTATGACGAAAAACTATCGATAGGCATTACAGAATGCAGCCTATCAACTGGCGAGTTGTAATGCAAATATAACGATAGGCCGTCTAATATACAACTGCTCGCCAGTCAAGTTCTAACACTATATTTAGGAGAGGTCGACGAAAGCACGACCGCTCAAGTCCGAAGTTCTAACAACTCTGTTCAAAACTGCTATCGGAGAAACCTCGTTCAAGTTCAACACCACGTGTTTCACACAGTGAAAACTTCTGCAAAGCAAATAGCGTTTGCACGAATGTTCGTATTTCAGAAACATAAACGCACGCAAATATTCTATGTTTGCAAACACAGTTCTCCTGAACAGAGACTATAGACCAACAGAAATTCACCCAACTTCTCATTTGAATTCTCAATAAACTCATTACATGTCAGCTGAAATGAAATATAAATTTTTACAAACCTGGAGGGTTATGAATTCTTTGAAGAAAAGTCCTCCTTGGGGTACATATAAGCATTAAAATGTCCATTTTAAAAAGCCTCGACAGTTGTAACAATATTTCAATAAAATATTTTTACCAAACAAAAAGCTTCGTTATGTGTGGTGTGAGACCACTACAGGGCCCGTAGGGGCCCCTACAGCCAAGAGCAGGTAACTCTGGCTGTGTACCTCAAATACCTCACTTTTCATGCTGAGCGTGTCAGACAGAATGAGGGGAGGTGGTGGCCCGTACCCCAAGGAGGACTTTTCTTCAAAGAATTCAACCTCTCCAGGTTTGTAAAATTCTTTTCAGAAGAGTCCTCCTTGGGGTACATATAAGCATAAGACAGACTCCCAGCGATGTTGAGTCGGGAGTGGTATTCTGTCTGCCTAACATACCCCCTAGTTCAGTCGAGAGGCACAGCCCGAGAGCAGCGACAGAGAGAAAGTACACTCACCTAGTCACCTGACGCTGATGTCAATCAGAGCGAGCGTGGCAAAGCGAGGAAAAGGAACCTAGCGATAGGCTATTGGTGGAAATTTATAAAGGCGGACGCAAGTCCACCCCAACCATCAAAATGGGAGGAAAGTATGGTGGGCGAGTCCAATATATATCCCTCAACAACCCAAACCAGCGAGAGCGTGGTGCAGGGATGAACACACAGTGACTGTAGCAGTGATAATGTCGCTACATACAGTAAAAACCACCACCAATGTGATACCACCACCGATAAAAATTGAGGAATTTATTAACACCTACACCATGAGAACAGCAAAGCGTGATTTCTAAAGGCTCATTAGGCTGGAGAATCACGACACTGCCCACTGGTGAGAACTGTCTGGCCAAACCGAGTGCGGCTCCCGTGAGTGTTTGTCCAGCTGATAGTGGCGGGATGAGCGTGCTCGATTAGGCTCCAGATAGCCGCTGAGCAGATCTCTTCAATGGGCAGTGCCGCCGGGTATGCTTTTGATGTAAGCCACTGCCCTAATAGAATGAGCCTTTAAACCCTGAGGGATGGTTAATCCTTTGTAAAGAGTAGCTTCGAACAAATGGCAGAGAGACAAGCCACCTAGATATGGTCTGCTTGTTGGCGGAAGACCAACCTTGCCACCGCCATAACAACAGAACAGCTGCTTATCTTTCCTGATAGCAGCCGTTCGTTTTGATATAAACCTTGAGAGTCTTCACCGGACATCTAAGGCGTGAGCACGCCGCGAAGAGGTACGGGCGATGGAGGCTGAGTGAAAGCTAACCCAGTTCGATAGAAGCCCGTTATATGAAAGCCTGCGACCTTAGGGCCAGTAGGAGTCTGGCAGCGAATACTGACTCTGTCTTTGTGAAAGACAGTCAGAGCAGGATCCGCTGACATAGCATGGATATCACCTACCGCCTGCCAGGCGTTACGCCACAAGAAGGCAGCCTTCCAACTTAACAGCTGGAGTGAAAGAGGCGACAGATCGTGAAAGAGAGGACCCGGACATCCAATCAAGAGCGATTGACAAGTCCCACGGGGACTAATCCGCCCGGACAGTCGGACGGATTCTGTCCGTACGCCTGCTAAAAGCTGTCTGCGAGAGGGTGCTGCCCCAAAGAGACACCGTCGGCAGGGATATGGAAGGCAGAGATTGCGTGGAGTAGCCCGGATAGTAGGCGCGGCTAAACCGGCTTCTAACCGAGACTGCAAGAACTCCAGTACTTCAATTACAGTTGAAGAAAGGGATCAAAGAATCCCTCTGCCGACACACCAGCCAGCATAACAGGCCCATCTATCCTCATACTGAGCGTTTGTGCCGAATCCCTCCGAAGGCCAGAATTGTGTCTGCAACTGGTGCAGGAATTCCTTCAGCGTGGAAGCGATTCGGACAGAGCCAGGCCACCCACTGAATCCTGGGATTGGTGCGAAGCTCGTTCTGGGATAGTAAGTCCGGTCGAAAGGGTAATAGTACAGGAGGCTGAGCCAGAAACCTGAGTAGTACCCGGAAACCAGCTTTGAGCCGACCAAAGGGTGCAAGGAGCACAAGAAGTCGAGCTGGTTGGGTGGCAAGCTGCAAGAGGACTTTGGGAATCAGGGGGTAGTGGCGGGAGCAGCCCACAGAACCCTATCCGTCCAATCGGAGCTGGAAGCGTCTTGGGCGATGGCTCTCCGGATCCGGTATCCGAGAGCAAAACTACGGAATCTGGTTTCGTCCCCAGATGCAAACAGATCCACCTGGAGCGACCCGAACAACTGGGAGATAGCCCGAATATCCCCGATGGAGCATCCCGTTCGTGGGGGCCAGGATACGGCGAGAGAGTGCATCTGCTCGAGCGTTGTCGCCCTGGGAGATAAACAGGCATTACCCGTATGTCAACTGAGTGCAGCACCAGAGCAGAAACTGCCATGCCTCCTGCAGAAGAGGCGGAAACCGTACAGCCCTGCTTCAGGATGTAGGTCATTGCCGTCTGGTTGTCCATCTCGAAGGCGGACCACACGGCCTTGAACCTGCTCGAAGTCGTTTGAACACCAACCTGACTGCTCTCAATTCTAGCACATTGATGTGCAGTTGCGCCTCAGCTCTGACCACAGGCCTGAGACCTATTGACAAGAGCCCAGCACGCCCCCCACCCTGTGGGACGTCCGTCTGAATTGAGAGATCTGGCGATGGATGATCTCCAAAGGGAGCCTTGGATAAATTCCTGCCAGTGTCCACCACCGTAAATGAGGAATTAGCCACCCTGGAGTGTGGAGAATCAACTTCGTAACCCTGGGTGTGGACCCACATTCGAGCTAGAGCCTGCTGAATGGAGTGCGCATCCTCAACCCCGCTTCGCCAAAAGCGATGTCCACCGTTGCGCCATGTTGCCCTAACAGCTGGAGCCAAGTCGAGCTGAGGCCCTGGGGGAACTTCGAGAATTGTAACACAACTCTCTGGACTTTGGTGGCGGTCGGGAGACAGGGAGACTATCCCTGCGCTGTCTCGAACCTGCGGCTCCCAAGAACACCAGATCCTGGGTGGGAACCAGTTCTGATTTCTTGAGGTTGATAATCCAAGCCCAACTTGGTGAGGAACCACTATCACAGCAAGTGTCGCCAGCTTCGACTCAAGTGGAGTGGTAAGCGCATGCGAAGGAGCCAATCGTCTAGAGTGCGGGTGACAGCACCTGCCCTGTGACCTGGCTACCCTGAGCTGGAGATTAGCATGAGTTTGGTGAACACCCTTGGCGCTGTGGAAATGCGAGAGGGAATACCCGAAACTGATAGCACCTCCGTCGAGAAGGAAAACCTTAGGTATTTCCCGGAACTTCCGGGTGCATAGGGACATGGAAGTCACAGCGTCTTTGAGGTCGATTGGCGTGAGCCAATCTCCCTTCTCCACAGGCAGAAATCACCCGAGCACGAGTGTTTCCATCTTGAATGGCCGGTACCTCTAACATGTCGTTCAAGACCTTTGAGAAGGTTTAGAATAGGTCTGAACCCTCAGGTCCTTTTGGTGACAAGGGAAATAAGTTGAGTAAAACCCAACATTTCTTGTCCCACAGGAACCATCTCTATGGCTGCCTTGTCCAGCAACGACTGGACCACCGGCTATGAACACTTCCGCCTTCTCTAGGGCAGCCCGGCACTGGAGTGCAAGCGGATCCGAGAAGGGGTGGGTCTGCGCTTCCACTGTAACAAGTGGCCTTCCCTGGAGCGTGTGGACAGGACCCAGGGATTGGGCATTGACTTTCCCATTCCGATAGGAAGAAGGAAAGTTTCCACTTACCCACAGGGATATGTGGCAGGGAGACGTGAATACAGGACTTTGGCGGTACTCTGACTGCTTGGTCTGGAAAAGGTACCAACAAAAGGAGCTCCAGGAGGAATTATAGCTGGGAAGCGGGGCTGACTTCCCTTCCTGAAAAGGCTGGTGGGGCGCCCGTGTACTGCGCCTTGCCCTGCCTCTGCCCTTACCCTCAGCGACTGCAAAGGGCTGAGCCGATTTCTTAACAGATTCCTTACGCGCGCTGGCGGAAGAAGGATATCTTGAGAGAACTGGCGGGGAGCCATGGCCCGAGGCGTGTGAGCTGTTCCAGCAGGGCTTAGAGTCCTTGAAGGTTGAGACAGCCTCAGCGGCCTCCAGTTACTGTAGCTGCCCGAGGGGAAGGGTAGAACCCATCGGAATGGCAGCCAGCGGAACTTTCTGTTGCGTGGCAGGCGGAATACACCGCCATACGGAAAGCCACTGGCGGGCGGAGGCCCATCACCGCCTCAGACATCATTTGGCAGACCGGCGGCTGACCTGATAGAATCGCAGCGCCAGATGTGACTGTACCTCCGTTAATTGCTTAGCCAAGGTGGAGGCGATCTCTTCCTCCACCCCAATCCACATCCAGTAGTTGCCTCTGCAACACGAGATGTAAGCCCGGAATGGATCGTCACTTTGGGGGTATTGGAGCCGCATTGCGGTATTGCTCTTCAAAGGATCGATGGAAGGATTTAAAGCTGTAAGCGTTGATGAAATTGACGGCGGAAGCGGCGACCTTTGTTGGCTGAAGCCATGCATTACTCGAGCGAACCCCCAGAGGCGGCGGATGCGTAAACACAATCGATAACCACTGGGGGATTGTAGAAGTGAAAGCCTCCCCATGAGGTACCGGGCCGGTCAAGTTCTGGCCAATCGAACCTGGACCTGGTACCCCACAGAGGGAGGGTTGATTACTTCAGACAAGACTGAGGGTAATATCGCCTAGCCTTGTGTCCCCACCTTGGTGGGAGCAAAAGCCTCCCTGGGAGGCGAAACCTCCCTGAGGGTCAGGTGCGCCAGTACTGAAGGCCACTACCTGGGGGCAGGACAGAGCAATGCAGCTCCGTGCCTGCCTGCCTCAGGGGCCTAATGCGGCCGAAACCAAAGCGTACCCAACTCCTCCCGACCCTCATCCTCCTCCATAGCCTCTCGAGATGCGATCCTCGGCTGGGTGAGGTCTCTGTTTCCAGAGAGAGCTCTGAGGGGATCATCGAGGGTCACAGAAGAGGGACAAAGGCTCTCGAGCAGAGCGGGTTGCCCGGCACACCCGGGCTCCAAGACTTCGAGACTGAGTCGCTGTGCCCGTGATGAGGAAGAGCCCGTGCTGGGATTCCTCAATGGTAGACAAAATGATCCAGACACCGAGATGGCCCGACCAAGCGGCATAGCCCGGTGGGACAAGCTGTAGTAAAAGCGGCATGCTTCACAGGGACGCTGCCAAACTACTAACTTACTGGACCAGACTCCGAGTTGCAAGGCTCGGGCCGGTGTAGTTACTACAGCCAGGAGGGTGTGGCCAGCAGCGAGACCGAGAGCTTCGACCCGGCCTCCCGACAGAAACCCCACAATTCAGAGCCTAAGCTGAGGTTGGGAGCGCACTGCCCGCCATAGACCGACACACACACCCGTTACCTGGTGGGACACCAATCTCCTGTCGGAGGCCAGCCATCAGCGTCAACCGAGGTAATGGACGAATCCATCTGCTTCTGCAATATATCAGAAAGTAAATCAATTGTTAGCTGGTTAGAAACAGGGACAGGAGGTGCCTGTGATGTTGAGGGATTGCAGGTGAAGGAGCGGAGGCCCGGTACCCTTAAGCCCGTTTAGGAGCATCCCCTCGAAGAGAGGAAGCGAAGCCTTCTTTTTCTTTGTTTTTTTATCTTTAGGCTGTCTTTAAGTGACTCCTGACCCCAAATGTCCCCGCTACGAAGTAAGGGCGTGTAGAACAATGCTTAATCAGCACGTCCTGGGGCTTGATGGTGGCGAGGCCTGACACATAGAACAACCTTGTTAGTCATGGGCTTCCTCCGCTTAAAACAAGCGTAAAGCAAACCAGGTGGCGATCCTGAGGCGACAAACTGCGCTACAGGTGACACACCTTGGGCTGCAAAAACAGAACCACGCTATGATAATAGCAAGGACTGTCTACGATATACATAATATAATATGCACACACAACAAAACAGAACAAAATACAAGCGCCGGGCGATATTTTAACTGCTGGCAGCAAAGACTATTAATTACTAGCGTAAAGCCATAATAGCGAGAGCGTAATTGCGTATGGGTGACAAAGAGGCAACATAATGTGAAGGCGACTCCCAACGGCGTCCGAAAACACTCAAAGCAAAACTTACCTAAAGCCTGAAAAGAGGAATTTAGGCAAGGTATAATCTACAAAGATGAAAATATCAGCCCTTTCACAACCGACTACAAGGGCTTTTCTAAAGCCAGGGAGAAGAGAAAACAAAGCGGAACCCAGCGGTCCAGCCATCTTGCCTGCCAGTGGCTGGAGACAGCGAACAACGATAAAGTTACAACAAATCATGAATGAAAAAAGTCATACAAAGATTCAGCTAAGCCCGGCGAAAGGAAGGTGTACATACAGGGATTTGACTCTATCTCACTCATCCTTATTATTATCTTGGACCATGCAAGCGACCTACGGCGGCGGTGACAGCATGAAAAGTGAGGTCGCAGTACACACAACGAGGAGTTACCTGCTCTTGGCTGTAAGGGGGCCCTCTGAGGGCCCTGTAGAGATAGTCTCTACCACACATAGCGAGTTTTTGTTTGGTAAAATATTTTATTGAAATATTATTTACAACTGTAAATGAGCTTTTAAAATGGACATTTTAATGTATATGTATGTATGCCCCAAGGAGGACTTCTTCTGAAGAATAAAACTGATGAACACTTTAGCTTGGAAGACAGTAATCAGCATGCTGACAAGTCATCAATTGTTTGTTAACATATCAGTCACGTGTGAGTTCAACTCCGTGCAGGGTTGTGGCCACTGTCAGAGTGGGGACCTGTGACTGCTGGCAGCAAGAGTGTTGAGAGCAAAGGGAGACAACTCACCTCCTGACAGATATGCATGTGGCAGGTTGGCCTCAAGGAACATGGCTTCTCCGGGTTGCAATGTTATCACATTCAGAAAGTAAATTGCAAACCCGCCACGATCCCCGGGAAACACGCGGTTTAACTTTAACAGCAAATCGCCTTCCAAATGTGACGTGTCTTTGCCATTAGATTCTGTAATACAAATCACACAAACATTATACAGATGAGACATAGTTTGCAATATTAGGCAAGAAAACATTTGTGGTTTGCAACAGGCTCCCTGACATCAGCTGCTGATTCATCATGATATGGACGTAAATAGAGAAAAGTGATTTTTAAGAACAGATAGCAACTCAGTTGTGTCATAGTGAAGGACTGGATGTTGTCATCGTGATAAAGTCAGTGTTTTCCTAGTAACAAACTGAGCGTTAAAGGATTCAGTGTTGTTAGAGTGATAATCAATGTGTTTTCACAGTGACAGATTTAGTGTTGCCATAGCGATAACCTCTGTGTTGTCCTAGTAACAGACCCAGAGGTGACCTAGTGATGGATTCAGTGTTGCCATAGTGATAGCCCGTGTTGTCATGGTGATGGACTCACTCATGTCTTCAACTTTGGCCACAAGACTCTTCAGTTGCTTGTCGATGACGTCTGCTTTTCTATTCATGAGTCCAGTGAAACACACCTTCATGGCCTCGCGGTGGAGCGGCATGTCCAAGCAGTTGCTAGATGACAGCAGCTTCACCGCGTTGTGGTTGCCAATGGCCTCGCGGAACTCGTCAATCTCTGAAAAATGGGAAACAGGTGAGTGGGTACTGTTTTACGTCTCTTCCGGCAATATCACCGGAGCCCCAGAAGTATTCATCACGCAGTCTATCTATGTGTAACCCTTGTGTGACAAGCCAAACGCTAAATGACATATTGAAATGTCTCGACACTTCTGACAGCATATAGGACCATAGTCAGATGTCCGTACCACTGCATTAGTCCTCCACACATTTCTTCACCATCACTATGGCAACCTATTGCAATTGCATTTTCAAATAATGCAATACCATTCACAATCTGACTAAAATTACTTCTCTCTGCATGAAGAGCTGTTCAGCTCTTCAGCCCCAACCACTGAAGAATGTACAACTGGTTTCATTCACATGTGAGTGAGTATGGTTTTACGCCGCTTTTGGCAATATTCCAGCAATATCACGGCGTGGGACACCAGAAATAGGCTTCAAACATTGTACCCACATTCACCTGTGTATTCAGAAACAATTGTGTCAACATGCCTGTATGAATGCTGACGGTTGAATCGAAATGAAGGATGCCAGTGTTCTGATGGGAGCCAAATGATGCTTTCTAAAAGTAATTGGCTTCAATTCTTTACATCCTCAAATTAGCCCAGCGGATAAGTGCAGTTTTTTCACTGAATTGTGCACTTTGTGTTACAAGCATGAAATCTGGCATGATTGTAGCTTATACCATTCTTATTAAATAAAGATCGAGAGGCCTCGCAGATTTTTTATATTTTTCATATTTTGGGGAAAAAAAGTGAAAAATGATAATTTTTTCGACTATTTTCATCATAACTTTTTCTAATATTCTCCAATTCTCAAACATCATATATCAAATTGTAGAAAATTCATAGCTGATCATTTTCCATACATACATGTCTTGTCTGTCTTTAATGGTTAGGTCTATGGAAGTCAATTTATATCATGACAACCCGAAAAAGGGAAAATTGATTTCAAAATGGCCACCATATAGACTACAACAGTAAAATAAGTATGAGATCATCCCATGATCTAACAATTTTTTATCATTTCTTTGCAAATCAAAACGAGAAGCCTCGCAGATTTTGGCCATTTTACATTTTTTGGGGGGGAAAAGAAGGGGTGTGTGTGTGTGTGTGCGTGTGGAATTTTTCAACATATTTTACCTTAAGTCAGTCTTAGATTTCCAAATCCTAGTAAATAATGTATCAAGAATATTACGAGAACAGATGAAAGTTTTGAAGGAATATATACTCATGCCAATAATGGTTGTCACCCCTCCCCACCCCAACCCCACACACATCTCACAGCCCCACCCCACACCCCTCTCCAATTAAAAAAATTGTAGGGGGTGACAACCATTATTGGCATGAGTATATCAGAAGATTTACTTACATGTATAATGTATGAGGTTGGTTGCCTATGGATCACCTATAAAAACCATATTAAAATCAACGCAAACATGTTTGATTTCAACATCAATGTCAAAGTAGCTATATTCAACAATCTGCGGCAGGTTACTCATTTATGTCTTGAGTGGAATTGTCTCACAGGAGTTACCAAGCCCTCTGGATAAGGGCTGGCAATAACTTTCTCAGGGAGAGCTTGTACCTCTATTTTCAAGTCTTCTGAAGGCATCAAAGAGCTGCCAGGAATTGCTGAAATGCATTGTGGGTGAGCAGGGGGCATGGTGGGCGAGCTGTCTTAGGCAATAGGCTAGTGATCCAGCGAGCTTGCCGGGATCGAGCCCAGCTGTAACCAGCTGCAAAAACCTTGGAGTCAACTTTCTGTGCAGATTCTTTAAGTGTTGTCACAACCCCTAGTGTACAGTACACAACCCGGTGCACTTAAAAGAACCCATGAATCTGTTGGTAAATGACAAGATGTCCACATGAATACGTGCAAATACCTAGTTGCGGGTACAGCAATGTGCAGTAAACCTGTACAAGGTGCTGTGACTATGTGTCCCAGTCCACCCAGCTGTGAATGGGTACCTTGTAAGAATGGGAAAGCAACAGTTGTATGTTGCCCCGGGAGTTGAGATTGATAATACAATGTGCCGTTGAGATTGACATCCAATGATCAAGGGGGAAAAACCAAGTGCCTTGAGCATGTATCAGTTCGTGGATATGTACGTTATATAAATATCCTATAATATTGAAAATTTTAACTATAAATTGTATATTTATATACTTATCCTATCTCACGACTTGCACCTCTCTCTCTTCATTCGACCATGAGTGGAAACGAATTAAAACTTTGCTCCAAGGCCTACCTTGCCCCTCTCCCGTGCTGTGCGTGCCTTCTGTGTCAGTCGTGCTCACTAGTCCATGACAGCACGAGGCATGCGCAGTCCTCACCCACGTGATCACCTCACATACTCATTCTCGATCTTGGAGCCATAAAAGGACAAAACCGGAACGGTGGTAATCTATGTAGTGGGGAGGTAGGGAGGGACTTTATCGCGTGAGATAGGATAAGTATATAAATATACAATTTATAGTTAAAATTTTCAAATTTTTAAACTTATCCTATCTCACACGACTTGCACTATCCACGGTAGGAAGGTGGGTCATAGATTACCGAAATTCAAGCGATAACAGCTAAGTGTTATGCCCAAACAACCGTGGGAAGCAACTACAAGGTAGGCCAATAACTACCAAGTTACTACGTCGCGGGGTTAGTTCGAACCCATTGACTTACTAAGCACAATTGCTCCCAGGGACCGGGATTCCCGAGCAATGTGGTGTTCAGTCACTACCTTCACAAAGTGAAAGGGCGTAGCTTAACGAGTGTAATCAGTCGCATCGCCCGCGATTTCCAAGGTACCCCGTAATAAAGTCTAACGACTAGTATCGGGCCAGCCCCTGCTTGAAACAACCCCACAGACACCGTCCGAGGAGGGTGAAAGAGAAATTGAATCGGTAAAACTCACAATTTTAACGTTCAGTACCACATCATCTTATGACTTCCATTACTTACCACAATAAGATCACATAGATGTGTATAGGCACTTAGGAGCATGAACGCTAAGAAGTGTAACACTTCGGGAAGGACTCACTTCACTGACTTAATTACTCCGTGGAGTAGAGGACAGTAAGTGAGGTGGCGACTCTCTGTAGTCTCAAACAAATGAGATGAGAAATCTAAATCCCGGAAGAGATAAAGACGTAAATCAGAAAAAGTTTTTCAGATTTATTCAGATTGTACACAAGCAGAAGCGATCGCGACTTGGGATCAACTGCACAGTGGGATCCATATAGCATCGGAGCACAAGGAAGTTCATTATCTGTGATGTTGTGCAGCTGATAACTGCTGGGCAGGGCGAGTGGTCCAAACTGATGAAGGCCTTGAATATCCGTCACCGACACATCTCTGAGGTAATGAGGCGAAAAACTGTGTCAGATCGCCAAAAACCCCTCCATTATGGCAGTTAACGAGCAGTTGCTATGCAGCGCCATAGTAGAAACCAATGCCCTGGTTTCATGAGGGTTGACTGCGTGGAGTGGTGGTGGCAAACCGGCAAAAGTGTAGGCTCGTAGTATTGTAGCTTGTAGCCAATATGAAGTGTTGTCAAGAGAGACTTCCGCCTTGGAAGCAGTAGACAAGGGTATTAACAGTCTCTTGCATGAGCGGCGGCGCTCTTGCGATGCTTTAAGGTAACGCTACGAAGTGTAAAAAGTGTAGGCTCGTAGTATTGTAGCTCGTAGCCAATATGAGAGTGTTGTGCGAGAGACTTCCGCCTTGGAAGCAGTAGACAAGGGTATTAACAGTCTCTTACGCGAACGGCGGCGCTCTTTGCGATGCTTTAAAGGTAGCCTTCTGAAGTGTAACGCCGGGAATGACTCACTTTACTGGCGTAATTAATCCGTGGAGCAGAGGACAGTAAGTGAGGTGGCGACCCTCCAGCGTCTCAAAGCGAGACCTGCAATGGTCAGTTGAACCCATTGACTTATTAAACACAAGTGCTCCAGGGACCGGGATTCCCGAGCAATGTGGTGTTCAGTCACTACCTTCATGAAAGTGAAAGGGCGCTTAGCTTAGCGAGTGTAAACAGTCGCATTACCCACGATTTCCAAGGTCTGGCGACCAGTATCGGGCCAGCCCCTGCTTGACACAACCCCACAGACACCGTCCGTGGAAGTGAAAGGGTAATTGAATCGAAACTCACAAGTCCCAGAAGAATCGAAGACACAAATCAGAAATAAAATTCAGAATTTTATTCAGATTGTACACAAAGCAGAAATGATCGCAACTGGTGATCATCTGCGCTGAAGCTGATGGTTGTCGAGTGCGAACAAGGCGATAATGACAATGCTGAATTCCAATTCGTTGTGATGAAAGGCCCTTTCTCCTGATGACCACTGCTAGGCCACTTGATGGAGAAAGTGGCCCCAGCTTGCAAGATGTGCCTTAGCGAATAGGTGTTGAGTCGGTATGAAGGGCACCCTAGAGACTCCAACACAAACATTCCACTTGTTGAGCCACCAGCGAAAGACTGAATGTAGTTGTGCGGGAAGGCGAATCAACTCCCTGGGGTTGTCGTCCCGATGTATGGGCACAGAACCATCTGAAGAGGGCGAAGCTGCAGCTGGCCCCTGTCAGTCAGCACTTGTGCGGCGCCAACCACCCTAGTAACTTCTGCCACTGGCGAAAAGGTGTGGGTTGGACCAACACTAGTGGTCGTTGCACTGAATATTGTCCCACCTCTCCTGGGGCACAAACATCATGACCTGGCGTGTTGAATATTGTCCCAATAAGAAGAAACAAAGCGGGTTGGGTGTTACCCCTGATTGCTCGAATTTAGCAGCCATCCTAATTAGCGTGAGCAACCGGTGATGAACTGTCTGTGGAAAGGAAGGGCGACTGGATCCTGCTGGGCTTGAACACGGTCGTCGATATTGTTGTCAATTGTCAACCGACAATGCAGGTAGCTGGTTAACAGAATGGGTATCTGAGTAAAACCCGCGGGGCTGCATATGCCCATACAGCAGGATCCTCCATTGGTATCAATGGCCC